GCAAGACGATGTTGTGGACCATCACTAACATAGTGCTTGTTTGTAAACGATGGTTAGGGGTGTGGAGAGAGAGAGCACCCTCACTCGGCATCAAGGCCACCATCACTCACAGGACGGCTTTGCAGAAGTCTTGAACCCGGCTGATGGCTTGTGTGGCGGCCGAGAACCATTGTTCACAATCAAGCACAGTGCTATGTTAGTGACGGTCCAGAACATGTCGTTGGTTTTATCAACGTTGCCACCGCTTGGCCACGATTTATTACGATAGCGCCTTAAACTCAACCACTAACCTTTGCCCCCAGCGATCGGCTTCGATGCGGGCTTGCACAGCCAGCTCTGGGAACACGGCTTGCGGGTAGCTCATGACGTTTTTGACGGTCAATGTGACGTCCGGGGACGAGCCGACGGCGGTGAAAAGTGCGCGCGTTTCTTCGAGGTCCAGCGCTCGTTTGGCGATGGCCAACGATACCCGGAGTCGTTTACGATCGTCGCGCTTTGTCGTCAGTGCGTCGGCTACGAGCAAGAGCCCTTGCTTGCTCAGAGGGGCAAAGCTCAAACTGAGCTCTTCCAGACCTCGGGCCAGCCACTCTGGCAAGGCGCGCGAGATCGACTCGATGCCACGCTCGTCCACGGTCTTGGTCCATGTCTCTACTTTGGTCAGGACCCGTGACGTGCTGAGCCACGCGACAACGCTGGGCATGTCGGTAGCGGGAATGTCAGAAATGACAGCGCAGCGCAGGTCGGGGCATCGACCTCCAGCGAGATGTCGGGGGTCCAGCTTGTCATCCCACGCACCGAGGTAACGAAGGGCACAAAAGCGCGAGACGTCGACGCAGTGCGAGACGCGTAGGTTGACGACTCGAGCAGGATCCAGTTTGTCCAGAAGCGTTTGTACCTTCGCCTCGGGGGCCGTTCGCGTCGAGTGGAACGTCCTGACGCAGTGGAGATCGCCGTCCAAGGCAGCCAGTGCCGCGTGAACGTCGTCAGCGCCATTGAGGATAAGAGTCTTGAGCGACGGCGACGCGAGGAGCGCGCGCGCCAGCGGCATGCAGTCGTCCACCGAACCTGGCGTGTAGCGCGTCATTTCGAAGCTGAGCGAGCGCAACGGAAACGCTGGTCGCGTGAACGCCGAAATCCAAAGCGCTGCGCTCACTGGATCGGACAAGCGGACGTCGACGCTCTCAATGTAGCGGCACGAGTCAAGTAGTTTGTGCACTTGAGCTGAGAACGTTGCATCTTTCTCTACCGAGACATGCCGGACGCGGTCGCCCCAAACGCGCGCAAGTGCCGGTGATATGGGCAGACGGACGCGTACCGATCGTGGCAGTGCCGCTGCCTGCCATCGGAGATCCGTGGCGGGCCCCACGTATACATACGGAAAGGCGGGCAGCGCAGCGATGCCGAGGTCAATGATCTGCACTGGAAATCTCTCGAGATACAAGCACGGCCAGTGGTGCTCGAGTTCCATCGATTGGCTGAGTAAGAGCAGCGCGTGAAGGGCCGGCGGTACGTTCGGCAGCGCCGACACAAAGGCCACAACGTCGTTGAGCTCGGAGAGCAGGTGCACGATGTCGAGCAGCACGATGCTGAGCGTGTCGATGGCGCAGCTCATCCAAATGGTCTG